CTCAATGAGACAGTGGTGGGGCTCTACCAGAAATCAGCCCTGAAGCTGTTGGCCAACCTCTTCTCCAACTATGCTGGGGCAGATGCCGGTGGGTGGATGGATGGTTGGGTGAGGGAGGAATAGGTGGACAGAGAAGACTGTTGTCCACCAGAGTCGCCCTGTTTCCTGTCTCACCCCATCCTTCTTCTCCCCAGGTGGTGATGGAGGGAAGGGGAAAGGAGCCAAGAAGAAAGGTTCCTCCTTTCAGACTGTCTCAGCCCTGCACCGGGTGAGGGATCTACATAGTGGACCCAATGTGGGGCAACACAAGGACAAGCTCCCACATGGTGGATCACCCCTCCAGCACTCCAGCTTCTCCCCTGCTCTCCCATTGGTCAGTCTCTTCTCTTCTCCCTTCTCACCAGGAGAACCTTAACAAGCTGATGGCCAACCTTAAGACCACCCACCCTCATTTTGTTCGCTGCATCATCCCCAATGAGCGGAAGGAACCAGGTGAACAAAGAGCGGGGCCGAGGGCAGGGAAAGGGGTGTTAGGTATGGCTTGTGGCTGACCTCACCTCTCTAACCCATCACCAGGTGTGATGGACAATCCCCTGGTAATGCACCAGCTCCGCTGTAATGGGGTGCTGGAGGGCATCCGCATCTGCCGCAAGGGCTTCCCAAACCGCATCCTCTATGGGGACTTCCGCCAGCGGTAGGCACAGAGGAGAAGATGTGGGGAGGGGTGGACAACCCCACTAGGGCTGATCTCAGGGTTTTCCTGTCCTCTCCGACCACCAGGTACCGCATCCTGAACCCCGCTGCCATCCCCGAGGGGCAGTTCATCGACAGCCGCAAGGGTGCTGAGAAGCTCCTGGGATCCATCGACATTGACCACAACCAGTATAAGTTTGGACACACCAAGGTGAGATCTCATGGTCTTTCCATGGTTCCATGACCTATGAGGTCACGTGGACCCCATGACCCCACCATCAATGTGTCTACCTGCCCGTCCACCCCACCATCTGTCCACTCATCAACCTATCAATCCATCCATCTGTCTACCAACTCTTCCACCAACCCTTCCCAACCAACCCACCCTCTCACATGCCTCATTTCTCCACCAGGTCTTCTTCAAGGCTGGGTTGCTGGGGCTCCTGGAGGAGATGAGGGATGAGCGTCTCTCCCGCATCATCACCCGCATCCAGGCTCAGGCCCGAGGTCAGCTCATGCGCATTGAGTTCAAGAAGATCCTGGAGCGCCGGTGAGAGGGGAAGGGTCTCTCTCCTTGAGGAGGAAACTGGTGGGTCACCAGGCTTGTAGTGTGGTGGCATTGGTCTCCCCATTCTAGGGACTCACTGCTGGTGATCCAGTGGAACATCAGGGCCTTCATGGGGGTGAAGAACTGGCCTTGGATGAAGCTCTACTTCAAGATCAAGCCCTTGTTGAAGAGTGCTGAAACAGAGAAGGAGATGCAGGTGGGAGGAGGTGGTGAGGCAGGTGGGTTGGGACCCAACATGCGTTGGGTGGGGTTGATGGATGGAGGGGATTGAACATGCTATTGGTCTCCTGGGCTTTGTGCCTCCTTCAGAACATGAAGGAGGAGTTTGGGCGGCTGAAGGAGGCCCTGGAGAAGTCAGAGACCCGGCGGAAGGAGTTGGAGGAGAAGATGGTCTCCATGCTGCAGGAGAAGAATGACCTTCAGCTCCAAGTGCAGGCTGTGAGTGAGGTTGCCCCCCAAAACCATGTCAGGTGTGTGACCACCACCCTCCCATGGCCATTCTACTTCATCTGCCACTCCAATACAGGAGCAGGACAACCTCAATGATGCTGAAGAGCGCTGTGACCAGCTGATCAAGAACAAGATCCAGCTGGAGGCCAAGGTGAAGGAGCTGACAGAGCGACTGGAGGATGAGGAAGAGATGAACGCAGAACTGACAGCTAAAAAGAGGAAGCTGGAGGATGAGTGCTCAGAGTTGAAAAAGGACATTGATGATCTAGAGCTGACTTTGGCCAAGGTGGAAAAGGAGAAACATGCCACAGAAAATAAGGTAAGGTCAGGAGGGGCCTTGACTTCAAGCTGTGGGGATTTGAGTCAACTCAGCCTGGTTGTGTTCAGTTGAGGAGACCAAGACTAGTTGATCTGGGCTACATCAAGACTCAATGTTCTTTGGGTTCTCTACCACTGAAGTGGTCTCATTAGCCAAGGACAACAGCAACGTCCCCCAGCTCTTATTTTACTCTTGGTACCAAGATGGAGGCCTGATGTTTCTTCTGCAGGTCAAGAACCTCACAGAGGAGATGGCCGGGCTGGATGAGACCATTGCCAAGTTAACAAAGGAGAAGAAGGCACTGCAAGAATCTCACCAGCAAACACTCGATGACCTGCAGGCGGAGGAAGACAAGGTCAACACCTTGACAAAGGCCAAACTCAAGCTGGAACAGCAAGTGGATGATGTGAGCATGGGCTGCTCCCAACATGGGTACTGCTGAAGAGGTTACTGGGGAAGAGATGATGAAAAACTGAGGTCTCTCCCCATTTCCATGTTTCCACACAGCTTGAAGGCTCCCTGGAACAGGAGAAAAAGATCCGGATGGACCTGGAACGGGCCAAAAGGAAGCTGGAAGGCGACTTGAAGCTGACCCAGGAGAACATCATGGACCTGGAGAATGACAAGCAGCAGCTGGAGGAGAAGCTCAAGAAGTAAGGCTGGACCTCCTTCCCCAGTTTAAACTGGTCAGAGGGAGAAGGCAAGAACCTCACTGCTAACTGCCTTCATCTGCAGGAAAGAGTTTGAGATCAACCAGCAGAACAGCAAGGTTGAGGATGAGCAGGCACTGGCCCTGCAGCTCCAGAAGAAGCTGAAAGAGCTGCAGGTGAGGGATCTATTCTCTGCTTAGTTGCGTTGGGCTGGAGAGCCTCCAGCTGGTTGGGCTGAGGTGAAGTCTACATCTGGTTGGGTTGAGGTAAGGAGCTCACAGCTGGTTGATCTGAGTTAAGTTGACAAGCCTCCAGCTGGATGGGTTGAGTTGAAGACTTTTCAGCTTGTTGGGTTGAGTTGAGTTAAAGGCACTCCAGCTGGATTGGTTGAGTGGAGAAGCCAGGTGGAACCAAGTCCGCTGACAGCATGTCCATCCCCTGAGCACAGGCACGGATTGAGGAGCTGGAGGAGGAGCTGGAGGCAGAACGAACGGGCAGGGCCAAGGTGGAGAAGCTACGCTCAGACCTGTCACGGGAGTTGGAGGAGATCAGTGAGCGTCTGGAGGAGGCAGGTGGTGTCACCTCAGTGCAGATTGAGCTCAACAAGAAGCGAGAGGCAGAATTCCAGAAGATGCGGAGGGACCTGGAGGAGGCCACACTGCAGCATGAGGCCACAGCTGCTGCGCTGCGCAAGAAGCACGCTGACAGCGTGGCCGAGCTCAGCGAGCAGATCGACAACCTACAGCGTGTCAAGCAGAAGCTGGAGAAGGAGAAGAGTGAGCTCAAACTGGAGCTGGATGACCTCAGCTCCAACATGGAACAGCTGATCAAGGCCAAGGTAGAAGGAGGCCAAGGTGGACACCTCATCTCCACCCTGGGCATCATCCTCCTGCTTCATCACTCCCCTCCATCCTTTCCTCCTCCAAGGTGGGTATGGAGAAGGTCTCTCGCACCATGGAGGACCAGGCAGCTGAACACCGGGCCAAGTTGGAGGAGACCCAACGAGTCCTCAATGACACCAGCACCCAACGGGCTAAGCTCCAGACCGAGAATGGTGGGAACCCTGACCCACCACACCACCCATCCCACATCTTCAGCCTCTGACCCACATCTTCACTCCCTTCTACACACCTGAAAACCTCCCCTACCTCTGCAGGAGAGCTGTCCCGCCAACTGGAGGAGAAGGAGGCCCTTGTCTCCCAACTAACCAGGGGCAAGCAGTCATATACCCAGCAGATGGAGGACCTGAAGAGGCAACTGGAGGAGGAGATGAAGGTGAGGTTTGTGGGGTGGCTGAGAGGGTCTCCAGGAGGGTGACAAGAGAAGGTGTTCTTCACCCTCATGGTGGTAGCACCAAAAAAAAAGCAAGTTCAGGCTGGTTCAGTTGGGTGGTTCCATCTATGGTTCCATGGTTGAGTTGGGTTGCATTTGTTCTAATAGCTGATAGGGTGGACTGAGCATGCCAATTGTGAGGCACCTGGGTTGGTCTATGGGTGGTTAGGTGCCACTGGACCAGGTAAAGTTGAACTGGGTCAGACTAGAGATACCCGTCTTTAGATCTCTATGGGCCTAGAGGTGCTGAATTTGGTTGGGATGGTCTAGAGAAGGTTGGGCTGAGAAAAACCACTGCTTACACACTTTGAGGACCTAGATGTAGCTTAAGCTCACTTTCTCCTCACTTCTCTCTCCCAGGCCAAGAATGCACTGGCCCACACCCTCCAGTCGGCCCGGCATGACTGTGACCTGCTGCGGGAGCAATATGAGGAGGAGAC